ATCATCGACTCCGTAATTGATCTTGATTCCGAATATGATATTTTCATTGCTCAGAAGTTGAGTTATGATGGAGAAAATTGAGAAATTATGGGCAGAATTCTGACTTTTTCGGCTCTTATTTAGAAAAAATGAATTTTCTCAGCAACGAAACAAAATTTTAAAAGAAGCGGGTCGTACTTTTAAAGCTGAAGTTTCAGCGAATCTAATGGTATCTAAACGAGGGCTGTAGTCCTTGATACAAAAAACTAGATAGGTTTACAAAATTCGGTGTCACCATTTGAGAGTACTACTTTTAGACGGCCTTGTTGGACAGTCTTTTAACTTTGAACTTTATCAAACCACGTTTTCTTATTCAGTTTTTGACGCGAAATAAGAAAAAAAATAATTTGAAACTTATATACTACTACGCAGCGCGAAAATTCTCGAAAAACGAATGTAAGCGATTTTCGAGTTTTTGTGCCGTATCGAGTTTTTTCGATTTTTCAGCATGAAAACAATTTCTTGAAACTTTAAAAAATATATTTTCTTAATCAGCTCAACGAGTTCTATCGAACGATGTATAATAAGTTCAAAAAATTTTGCTCAACTTTTGCATTACGCGCATCTTAGGCAAAATAAATCATGTTCTCTCGCGCATCGAGACCACAACGAGAGCAGCTAAGATATATATATTCGTGATCAGCGTAAAATTATCTACAAGATAGGCTAGGTCTTGTCTCTTTTCTAGGGAGATCACTCAAATATGTTCCCTCGTGAGTGTCAAGGATTCGGTATAGAGAGGCGATTCTATGAGTATTCGAAGTTAGTGAACATTGCCGTTAAACATTTCTCGTTCCGGATCTTAGCTGGTAATTTGAGTAATTGCAAAATACAAATGAAGAAGTGAAATTTTTATTTTTAAGAGAAAAAATATCTGAAATGTTGGTCTAAATCTACCTATTGTGCCATGTATATAGGATGTTTGTGCTGTATGAGAGAAAGAAAAGACCGTTGACTATTTTTTCCTCTCCACTTGTAGACTACACAAAATAACTCTTGGAGCTTTACATCAGCTCTTGTTTATTTTTTCACATAAAAAATATCTGTCATAGTTGGGTGGAAGAGGAAAATGGTATTTTTTTATACAGTAGTCCACGACATAACAGCTGTCTAGTTATTGTATGATACCATAACACAAAAAGGAGAAAAAAAGATTTATAACTTACATAAAGTAATTTGTATGGTTGGAGGAAGGCCACCTATACTATTATTACGAAACCAAAAGTAAAATGAAACTCATTATTGTAGTTGAAATTATTTTGTTAACAATTTGTTCATTTAGTAAGTTACTATCAGATACATAATAAACCTTTCCTGCCCCAAAAACTAATTTTCAAGCGCTGCTCTAAGGATAAAGGTGCCTCTTTCAAAACAGAAACTAGTTGTTGTATAGAAAACTATATGGATAACGTATCATTCTAGTTGATGGGCATACCATGAAACGACTACGTCGTCAAAATTCTTTGCCCTATGGCGGTTGGTCTGATGCGCAAAGTAATCCAAGTGGAGCTATACCAGGTGCCTACTATGGGACAGGAAATAATCCGAATGAAGGTGGTTATTCTAGCAACGATCGATATCAAGGCAATATAAATTATTCACCCTATGGTTCAATCCCAAATCTCAACTCATTGCCCTACAATGGAAACCCAAATCAGAATATGCAAGGTGGTCAAACTTATTATGGTTCCAACATTATGTTTAATAGTCATAATAGACCAAATAAATATCCACCTGGCAGTCAAGGATGGTATGCAACTGGTGGACACTATTATAACAATAGAAGTACATTGTTAACATTTAACTATATCTTAATGATATTCATTTTGATTTTCATCATTTAGATTTTTCCTTCTATTCGACTGGTTTTTTTATCGCTTTATTTGATAATCATCAGTTCAGTGATCCCTATTTTGGATGGACAGCTGAGCGACTGTAATCTGGGATCTCTGATCCAATCAATGACGTAAGCACGATTTTTCAACTGCTGGTGGTGTTCTGTAGAGGCGAAAAAACTCGGTGGACCAGACACTTTCTGTCTGGGCAGGAACTTTTTCGACTGTTGTCAGTTCTGATACCGTCATTTTCCGCGCTGCTCGTTATCGTGGCAATTTAAGATTTTTCAACGTTATTTTTGATGAAAAGATTGAAAAATACTGATCTTCTGAGCTGCAGGAAAAAAACAGTGAAATTTTCAAAGAAAAGCAAAGTTTTCATGTCTCATCGCTTTTCGACATTCCAAAACCATTTTTTTCTTAGTTTCTACCGAAAACTGAGTCTGGAAAGCTAATTTTGGAAATTTCAGAAGCTAAATTGGACCCACAATCTGCGAAACACCGGCAGCGCATTTACCATTCTGCTCGTGATTCACCGACTGAGAGTCCAATTTAGCTTCTAAAATGTCCAAAATTAGCTTTCCAGACTCAGTTTTCGATGGAAACTAAGAAAAAAAGGGTTTTAAAAATTTCGAAAAGCGATCAAACTTGAAAATTTTGCTTTTCTTTGAAATTTCACCGTTTTTCCTGCAGCTCAGAAAATCAGTGTTTTTCAATTTATTGTTTTTTATTGACACAAGAATGATAATTCGCATTCGCAGTGAGTTGAAAATCTCCTCACTTCGCTGCCAATCGAAAATTAAGCTAACACTGTATTATTTATTTATAAGATTTGGGATTGTGTGAATTGAAAATTGAACTCATATTCGTTTAATGATATAGTACTACTGGAGATTAAGGATCGCACCCTTGTCATTTCTTCGGAAATTTTCATCACCTGTTTTAACGTTAAATGTTAAAGACTTGTCATTGCGAAAGTTCTATCACAAGTGCTCGCAGACTGTTTCATTTCTAGGGGAAATTCTTTCTGAAAATCGATTTTCAAAAACAACGCCAAAATTTTCGCCGGTGTTTTACCTGTTTCTCACCGCTTTGAATTATTCCTATCTGCCAGTTTATCAGTGTGTGAGCCCCGTTCGACTACACTTTCCAAACGGCTGGACCGCATCGGCTTACGTTTCTCGACCGGTTCCAGCTACAGTCCGACCCCTATCCTCGCAATGCTCGTTGATGGGCTATGATCAAACTCTTCTCAAAAATGTCCAAGAGTGGTACATTCTCCACTACCGCTATCTCGATTCTGTGGTAAAAGTTCTAAAACTCCCACAGTCAGAACACTACTATGCTAATGGAATAGGTGAGAAGGTGTCACGTTGATCCGGTGTCAATAGAAGTAAGAAACTAAGAGAAAAGCCGATACTAAAAGTGGCCAAATATCCACCATATTTTGGAAGCATATTGATTTTTTCTACGAACTGTCAGTTGCAATATGAATAACAAAAAACTGCATCTTCAGAAAGTCATTTTCCACCAAGTTTTTATAATGCTGTCCCACTAAACAAGCAATAAACTAATTACAAAGTCTGGTATATTCTGGTTACTTCTGATAACTCCTGTTGACAGATCAAGACATGCGGATGTGTGCTTGGTAAAGTTTTCTGTATGATTGCTACACACATTTCGAAGTACTTCTTTGCTTCTCTGTAGAGCTTTTGATTTTTATAAAGGAATCCCATGTTGTTATATGTCGTAGCAACAGACGGGTGATTGGGGCCCAGTGTTTTCAACTTCAGTTCCAGTGTCTTTTCATAATAATCCAAAGCCTTTGAATAGTCACCCATAGCATCATATAGCCGAATAACCGAAAAAAGACCTTATGCGTTCATGAAGTCATGACTGAAAGGGTGATTAATCTTCCACCACCATGAGACTTCTGAGCATTGTGTGATAGCGATATTTGTCTTATTTTCTATTTCCACATCTATAGTGACGTAAACTGTCAATTATCGGTTTCTCTGTGCCTGATACCCAATACGGACCGCACTCTTCGTACACAAGCCACTCCAACATGTTCCATCTCTGAGAATGCTTTTAGAAGTCAAAATTGGCCATTTTGCGATCCTTCGGAGTGAAATAAAACATAAACAGTCGGTTTATGGGTGTTATTGTGTTACATGTGCAAGTTGTGTGATTCCCTAAACGCTTGGATAGGTGGAAAACGGATATGTTTCTTTAGAAATGGAACTGCATAGCTCATTTTGTTGCATTATTTTTAGTCAGGCGCAATGAATAGATATATATCTTTTAACTTGGAGATCGAGACACCCTGATGTCTCACAATTTCAGTAATAGTTTACTGTCTGCTTCGATGGCTCTGTGTTCATCTAAAATTTTCTGATGAAGTGGCAATCTCCATGCTATTAGGATCTTTACACATGCTACGTTTTATGCTCACGCTTTAATTTGAATCACAATGATGCAAAGCGTGCGTTTTGCATTTGTAAGAAAAGATAAGTTGCATTTTTAAGGTCAAAAAGGTATTTTCATTCTTTGACTGCTGTTCGTGAAAGCGACAAACTTAACTAGCCTTGATGAATACATTTCTAATAACGAGTGAATTAGCTTAGAAAAACGCATGAGAACGAGAAATTTAATATGTGGCCACGTACTGAAAATAATTATCTTTACATTTACGTATCACTCTGTTGATGTTCAGTAACAGAAGACTTTATATCATTAAGCTGTCTTGTTTTATTTATTTCTTGTCCTTTCTGCTTCTTTGAAGGCCTTTGAATCTGGATGTTTTATTTCACGCATATTTGTAACGTGCACAGAGTGGTCTAATGAGAGACTTCTCGAGCTGACCATTAGCAGCTGACCCTTTCGGCTCCTTACATGAGTATATTTTGGGACAGCGGTCTGTCGTCATCCCATATTGTAGAGGTTAGCCCATTCTTAATTTCTAGACAATAGGAAAACCTCGGTGGCACTCACTCTTCTACATATCAGTTTTGCTTTGAGTAGGCCTGTTGACTTTGGACGTCAACGTCTACTCGCCAGCTGTGAAAAAAAACGTGTAAGAGTACCCAAAGAGAGTCTTCTGAAAACGTACTGCTGCCATCGTGTCAGCTCTTTCCGCAACTATGTGATCAGTTCTTGTAGAGCAGTGCAAAAGGTCGAAAATACAGTTGAACTTGATTGTGTTGATAATAAAACTCAGAGACTCTTAGAAGGAATTTAATAGAAAACCTATAATAAACCATCCTATGAGAAAATTTTTTTAAGTGCTTGTGAGACATCAGGGTGCCTTGATCCTCAATTTTAAAAGATACATATCTATTCATGATATCTAACTAAAAATAATGGAACAAAAATGAGCTATGCAGTTCTATTTCTAACGACACACATCCGTTTTCGTGAATAATATTTTTTACAAAACGGTGAAGCCGTTTCTCAAATAAGTCTTTTTTTTAAATTCTTTATACTTTTTTCTTAGATGATCATAAAAATGCAGAATGAAAACTAGAGAAATGAAATCGTTTTACGGGTAATTAACAGAAACAGAAGAATCTACATAGTTTTAAATAGAGAAGGTGAAGAGCTGCAAAATACTAAAGCCGTTTTTCAAAGAAATACTTTTCCGAAATTTTATTAAGACTTTATTCCAAGGGGGGAAAAGCAACACTACACTACACTGCAAGAGATTGGCCACTACACCTCACTACACATCCACTACACCTCACTACACATCCACTACACCCCACCACACATCCACTACACATCACTACACATCTACATCGCATTACAGCTCACTACACCCGCTACACATCCAGTACACCCCATCACACATCCACTACACTCATCATGATTCATATTGGATTTTTCAAACTTTTATATTTTTCTGTTACATGAAATAATGAACGACAGCTCAACTCATATCAGTTTGAACAGAAAACTCTTCTCTACAATCTGTCATATTCAAATCTACAACAGAAGATTACAGGAATAAAAGTATTTTTTCGAAAGTACTCTAACAGACAATCGTTACATTCTTAAGTACATCTAAGAACTTTGGCTTCACAGCTACCCATGAAAACATTTTGAGACATCATTCTATGTGTTATTTAATAGGGCTCGTGAAGTACTTTCGAAAGATACAGAACATGCACAGTCATATTTTTGTTAGAACTATCTACGACTCAAAATCCTCATTTTGTATATTCTCAAAAGCCAGTTTTTCATGTTTTACGTTCCTATAACTCAGCTCTGCAAAAACATGGTGATGATTCTCTTCACAAAAAAGAGTAGGACAATTGGCGTATGGTAGATCGAGATAATATCGAATATCGTTAGTTAATTAAAAAATCCTTATCTATTTCGTCATTTAAACGCAATCTCTACGGTACGATTAGATTGGTGTCATTAATCGTATTTCTAAATGGTCTACCAAAGAACAGCAAAAATGATTTTGATCCAGGAGGTGATAGAATAAATGAGGAATGAATACTAATAATGAATAGTACAGCCGAGAAAATTACTTTTTTTCTAGTGGATGTAGGCCTAGGCATAAAAACCAGTCTTTTTATTCTCTTCAAGAGAATTCTTTTTGGTAATCGGTAATAATTTGAATAAGAAGATTATTGCGATAACAGCAGCTTTAAACATGATACATTTATTTCAATAGTAATGTCAACGTTTAGCTGTTTCAAACAGCATTTTCAAGACATAGTATGAAAATGAGTCTGCAAAGACTTCTTTATACAATAAACTGCAGCAGCATATTTTCAACCGAAATATTTCAGTGATAAGGCTGTAAACATAGCTTCTATTAATAATCCATAGTGTACTATATGTACAGTGAGGATCCTTGTCAAACAGACACGATCGCAGGGCGGCTTCAGCCGATTCCTGGACCACCACGATCTATAGAAGGCGGTTCTTTTCTCGAAAAGATCGTATACTAAAGGATCATCAGTATCACATAGTCTATTTGGCTAAATGTTCTGATTGCGATGCTGCATGCGTTGGTAAGACATGATATGCGTTTTTGCCTTCGGGTGGTCGTTATATGCACAGTATCAAACAGCGGTATCGAAGCTTTATTATAGGAAGAACATTTACACTGTAAGGTTGAACATTATTTATGGAAAATGCGCGGCGAATTTTAAAGAGTATCTATGGGAATTCCTCGAAGATTTTCCAGTTGATACAAAATCAAATTTTCAACAATCTGGAAGATCGTCCTTGAATTTCCATAAATAATTCCCAAGAAAGTAGAAATTCTTTGGCGGGTCTGCACCGAGTGGTGGCGCGACCTGATTGTATTGGGGTTGACCTCGCTCATGCTTTGAGAAATTTCTGGTGGACGTCTCCGATTTTGAAATGAATGATATATCATTCATTAATATGTGTATTTTCCAGGATTATTCACTTAGTTTTAACAATGATCATGTATCTGATGTATCGGGCGGCCCAGAATAAATGGGCCTCCTCGTATTTTGCTTATAATTTCTTTTCTTTTCAATTCTTAGACTTGATTGTTTTTCCAAAAGATGCACCATCAAATTCTCTACAGGACTTGATCAAACTTGTTTCTATGAAACGTTAAGGAGAAAAATGAAACGAAGAATACTCAACATGATGAGAAGGACCACCTTTCTAAGCTATTTTGTTTTACAAATTTTGGAATATTTTAACGAGTTATAAAGACAATGAAACAAAAGTGAAGATATTTTTGAGTACTTTGAAGTGCGCTCTTTCTCTTTATGTACTTCACAGTTTGTTCAAATCTAAGTGAGTACTGAAAAATCTTACATTCCAAACTTCACCTCAAGGTGACCAAAATCTGCTGTCGCTCGACAGGTGAATTTATGAAGGAAGCTTTAAAGTAACGTTTGTCGTTGAATCTGGCACAGGTGTCATTTCTCATCAAAATAAAAAAAGATCGCGTTAAAGAGGTGCTCTTTTGACCTCATTATGCAGCATTTTCCAGGAGCTTCGAATCTGCACATTCAAATACATAGATTTTGCAAAGCCTCAAAGAGGAGAAAGTCGATGGAAGTCTCAAAGATTGATTTTGCATTGTGCACCTAATACTGATTGGTGGCGCTTTCCAAGGGCTACAAAATGCTTATATTCTCTTCTTTTTATCATCCAACTCAGGAGGGAACCTCCCTAGATGCCCACTTTTGATTCAAATGCTTTGTACATGGATCGATAGACCTCAGTGAGGTAGTAAACACCCTAAACGGATTCGGACCCATGACTCTTGAAGACCCGGTTCTCTGGAAAACCAGTTTTCAGAAACTCCAAAAAAAATAACCAAAACCTTTTCTCAATGAGGCATGATTGTGGCCTGTAAATTTCTGATTAAAATGAGACGTCTCCCAGCTCTTCACGACCTTCCTTTGCAAAGTTATATAATTTCCACAAAAGCCCCAAATATTCAATGTCAGCTCAAAGCTACAGAAATAAAAAGAAATTAGTTTAGGGCTTTTCTTGTAAATTCTATAACGGTCGCATAGAGCTGGAAGACGTCTCATTTTAATCAGAAATTTGCAGGCCACAATCATGCCTCATTGAGATACGGTTTGGGTTATTTTTTGGGGAGTTTTTGAAAAACTCGTTTTTCAGAGAACCGCGTCTTCAGGAGTCATGGGCTCGAACCCTTTTAGAGTATTCACTAACACATTGAAGTCTATCGATCTATGTACAAAGCATTTGAATCGGAAGTGGGCATCTAGGAGGTTCTCTAGTCAATGAAAGTGGCGAAACAAAATGTTCTTTCGGCTTAGAAAGTTGGTCCTTCTTCAAATATTTGCTCCATGGCAAAATCTCGATGATGCTGTAGCAATCGATTATATTTATGAGTACATAATTAATGATACTAGGATGAATTAAAATACTGCCCAAATTGTTTCTTATTAGTATTTTTGCAACTAAGGAATTCGAGCATATATTTATATCTATGAATGTGTTAGATGAAGAGGAATTTAGCAATTTATTTCATATTATATGAAATAGTCCTCAAACGTTCAAAACTACAACTTTATTTCCTTTATCAAAAAGGAATTACTGTTATTGGTTCATCTGCTTTAAGCGTTTTAATAGTTTTCAACTGATTCTTCGATAGATTTTCCCGGTTTACTTTAATATGTTTTTCAAGATTATGCTCAAGAGCGAATATTCTACTTATAGGAGATCTAGAAAGAGATTTTATAGCGCTATAAGGTTTTCTGGAAAATCCATTAACAAAAATATGCTTTTCGATCTTCTAATTACATTTAGCGGACAAAATTAACCATATCCTGAAGTTTTGAACTCGTTCTGATGTTTTCTGAGTGACTAGTGAATTTTTTAATATTATATGAAAACAGCCAAGAAACCCTAATTCTTGCAAAACTCGCTTTTCGGTAGATTTTTCAGACTTTTTCTCCAAACAAATATTGCCACGAGACTGCGCATGATTGATCACCTAAAATCTATCGGCTTTGAGAGAGCACGCACAATCGGTCCGTAAAAACTTGCTGCAGCGTGCTTCTCAGACATTCTTCATAACATCAGCAAAAACCTAAACTTTTTGGAAATCTATAGCTTTCGAGAGATGAGATTTATTACAAAATTAATTCCTGCAATTTGCACATTGAAGAAGTGATAGAACTTTTTAATGATCAGTCTTCAATTAAACTGGCTTATATTACATTAGTTTAGTTTAATCTATATTTATTAGTTAGCTAAATATTACATTACTCCAAACTTTTCTATTGACAACATGTTCTATGTATGTGAGCGAGATCTATTTATTCTACGCAAGAGATTTTTAACTACATCTCTCTTTTTATCACTCTACTCCAGTAATCAATCATACATTTCACTGAATATTCAATCTTTTTTTCCACAATACCAGTCTATTTGTGATTGAGTCCACAGAATACTCAGCTGCCATCTTGTCCATGTGTTGTAGTTGTAAATTATTTTGTCTGATAGTTCGTTCACATTTATAATTACAAATATCACCTTCATTATCAGGTAAACTATTTAACTACTATTGTAAGCCAGAATTTTGTCAAATTTCTCTTCTATAATTTTTTAACCTTGTTTTTGCAGTTATGTCAGATCGATGTTAGGACGGACAATGCGTGCAATATTAATCAAAGAGTTTGGTAAATATCTTGATTCTCCTCACATTGTATAATCGTACTGTGATTTTGTGGAACTTCTTCAAACAACCCAAAGGATTGAGTGGAAGTGTATATCTGAAAATCTATAGTTTTTGTGAATATTTTACTTTCTCCCTTGCAGACGGACAAAACACTCACGTAGTGTTTCATCCCTTGGAAACGGTAACTAAGTACTATCATCTCTTATTGTCAATTTTCTTCTCTGAATAAGTTTACCAATATAGATTCGCGTTTGCAAGCCGGCATGATTTTGTAGTACGGGTCTTTTATTATCTTTTGTATGACTTGATATTTTTATTTTTTTAAACCAATACTAAAATCAACAAAAAGAACATTAAAATAAACAACAAAATGTATTTGCTTTTTTATTGTTAAAATCTTTTATTTTACTTTACGTAGTAATTTTTAAAACATTAAGTTTGAATCTCGTACAATTATAGAAATTTAGATTTTAGCCTCACGGAGTCTGATCTAACAAAATTTGGTGTTTGTTTTTAGGCGATGCAAGCGTTTGTAAATTAGTGAAAGACGTTTCCATACCAGAAATTCAATCCAAAGAGGTAATACACTGGCCCAGAGATCTATGCAGGAAAAAAATAGGAAGAACAGAAATAGTTGGACGAACTACGATTAATTTGCACTTATATTAACGAATTTGAGACAGGTGACTATCTGGCGTTATTTATGTTTACTTTCAGTTATTGATTCGAGTGCATGCAGCTGGTGTAAACCCTGTTGATACTTATATTCGTTCTGGTACTTATAGCCGTCGTCCAAATCTGCCGTATATTCCCGGCTTAGATTCAGGTGGAGTTGTAGAAAAAGTTGGACAAGATGTCAAAAATTTCAAGGTTCAATTTATCTGTTGTTTTATTTATTTTTGTAAGCGATTTTCTTGCTGTTTTAGGCTGGTGATCGAGTGTTCACGGTAAATACTGTGACTGGTAGTTATGCGGATTATTGCGTGGCTCGATCTGATTTTACATTCCATTTACCTGCAAATGTGTCTTTTGAAGAAGCATCGGGATTGGGTTTACCATATTTTACAGCATATCGAGCACTATTTATCAAGTATGATTCATATTTTTATAGCTTGAAGCTTTTTTCGAGTAGTGTAATCATCAAATTATTTCAGGTAAATGTAGGAAGAAGGATCGAAAGTGACTGCAGAAAATTCTCATCTAAAATTTGAAATACTCCACATGCAATTGTTTCTTTATTTGCAAAGAGAAGCTTGACTATAGAGAAATAACAAATTTATTTAAATTTTGGTGCACTTCTATCGTTTGTTGCAGTTTTTTTCAGTTGTAAGCCATGTCGGATATCTCCCAATAAAGCTGACCGATCGTCTTCACCGCCAGTATTTGCTTTTGGTTTAGTCACTAGTAGTGGAGGTGGAGGAGGAGGAGGACCTGGAGGAGGAGGTATATTTGGTGCGGGTGGAGGTGGCCGACTCGGCAGTTTAGCCATATCTATTTGTTCAACGTCTGCTAGTTTTGGTTGTTGTTTGAAATTTAAATTGATGAAGGATGTTGGCGTTATCGTTGTTGATCTTCTAGTCGACAGTGTTGTTGAACTTTTCCTCAAACTTCCAGATGATCTTTTATTCGATACGGATACTGTTCTTGTCAGATTTGGTTTGGTTTTTGCAGCGGATGCTTTTATTTGTTCTTTCGTTTGATCTAAGATAGATTTAATATCTTGAGAATATTCAACGAGAATAGGCTGAAAGTTTTTCAATTCAATCAATGGTGGACTATTTTGAAAATACGGTAATTTACGTATTTCTTTTAATGTTAGAACAGGTTTTGTTGTATCAAATATTTTTGTTAATAATTGCCTGACACCATCATCTCGACAATCGTGCCAATGTTTAGGTGTTAGAGTAATTGTGTCCAATTCATAACCTGATACCATTTCAAATATTAAACGACCGAAACAAATCACTTCATTAACATCTTCCATTGACATACCATCAGCAATACTTGGTTGTAGATTTTGGACAGATCGTTTGACAAGTGATGCTATTCGAGATCGTTCTTGAAGAAATGAATATTCATAAGAGCCAATTTGTACACATTCTCCATTTCGAGCAATGATAATATTTCCACTATGTAGGTCAATGAGGGGTGGAATACTCTTTTCTTTCAAATAAAGTAAACCTTCAAGAATTTGTGTAGAATATAAATGAACACGTTCAAGCGATATGCCAGAGTTACGATAACTGTATTTTCCCTAGAAAAGACAAATAAAAAATGAACGGATATAGTGATTGCGCTACTAACTCAACGAGTGCGTGTTATTAAATAAATTTGATCGAATAGCAACTGTTATGATATTGCTGGTTGCCATGGTCGAGTAACATCTATTTTTCCTTTAGATACTGATAAAGAACCGGTGCAGTAAGTCTAAGTTTTGTCTCACCCCTTTGGCTAACTAATTCGTCTGTATTTGCAGTGCAACTAATATTTTAGGATTGAGATTGATAGCATCATTCACGTGTGATGAATGAAGTGACTTTTGGATTGAATATGATTTGAAATCATCTCTTTAGAGAAAAAGTATAAATATTTAAGTCTTCGACTAATTAGTTAGAACTACGGTTCGAACATTTCAATAGATTCAAAACTGATATTTGATAATTAAAGATTATTTTATCTGTCTATCTATGATAAATACCCTTTTCACTTACGTTAAATTGTCCTGTTGGTACCACACCATGTATAAAATCTTTGAGTGAACCATGTGTTTGATAATCTTTGACAATTACAAATAACAGTTGATTTTGAATATAATCGATTTTTTTTATTTGTTCCACATAAGGATGATATAAATAGGAAAACAGTTCATTTAAAATCGTTATGTAAACACTTTCTTCGTGAGGAAATTCAAATCGATCACTTTTAGGAAATAAACTTAAGATAATTGAAGCTTGTTTACCACTGCCTTGTTTTGGACTTAGTAGAAACCAATATTTATCAATTCTATAACCAATTTGTGATAATTGTGAATAGAATGTATACTCGTTTACACATCTAACGTAGAAGTGACACGTTAATAGAGCTGAACGTTGACCATCAAGTTCTCGTTCACGTTTTGGTTGAGTTAAACGTTGTAATAGAGGAGTATCGATATCAGCGGTACTACTAAGTCGTCTTTCGCGCGGTGAACGTTGTCGATATTTTGCACAAAGACAACAAATGAAAAAAAATAATCCTAAACTCAGTATAATAATCAAAATAGCTAAAAGAGATATCCATAAAGCATCTTCTTCCATTTTACTTTTCTTATGAAGTAGAGAGAGAGAGAAAGAATAGCTAAATATGAGCTGATAACGAAGTAATAAGTAAATAGACGTGTTGTATAGAAGAAAAGCAAGGACAAAAGTTGAAATAATGATGACTAAATATTCTGAGAATACACACGATTCTAATTTTTAGGATATCTTTATTAGCCTCTAAACTGTTACTGATCTGTTAGTTGTCTGAGTTATTTCTTAAATTCACTGTATAATTTTATATTGTGAATTAATTGTAGATAGAATTGTATTGCAAAGTGGAAGCAGGATGCGTAATCGATCTACGACTTAATCACCTTTTAGACTTGTATGATTATTGTAACCAAAATGATACGAATTATTAAGCAAATATGGCTACATAAGAACTGAATAATTGTAACACGGATATTAAAGAAGCCTGTTTACTATACGGTTGTTGAAGTAGTGGCGTACCTATGATTTTTACACTTCTTCGACCGTCCTCCAAAGGGTTAAGAAGAAATCGTTTTCTGGTTATAGAGAATTTTTTTGACTATCACGCAAAAATAAATACATGTTACTTTAGTCTGAATTTGACTTTTCCAGAACAAGTTTTTGTTCTAAGTCAATAAACAAAGAAAAAGTTCGGGCCGAAATTTTATATTGCACCCAAATAGCATTGGATCATAATCCCACACAGTGCACGTTTTTTAAAACAAGCGGACATTAGAGGTCTTTGCTCGTAAACTAGAGTACTTTGGGGTAATTAGGCACACTCTTTGAAATTTTCATCCTTTTTCTGCTATTTCTTGGTCGTTTTTGATCGGTAAACTTGCGATTGAACACGGTGATAGATCGAATATTTTTCTACACGTTCATGTAAAAATCTTTTGAAAATCTTCGGCCAATTTTGAGCCAGATCCAAAATGCGAAGAGCTCCATCAAAGTGTCTCTAATTACCCCGTACCGGGTAATTAGAGACACTTCACTTGTACGCTTAGAGATAAAAATAGAGACACTCCATTCAAATACATGGAGTTTTAATGTACAATTGCTGGTGAATTAAGCTTGGGAGATAATTAGTTCAAAAATACCTCATTTTATAGCCCGGATCTTCTTCTCTCTACCATATAGTTTTGAGCTCATTATCATTTAAAGTTATTAAGCTAATTAGCAGATAATCAGCAGCACTAGAAATTTTCTTTTTTCCTTTTTTATGCTTCGGGATAAATAGAGACACTCCACTGAAATACACGAGATTCTCAGAGACAAACCTCTACCGTCTCTAAGAAGTCGATTTTGGTATTATACCAAATGACAAAGTTCTTCAGAATGCTGAGCTCTATTACATATATGAGAACCGGAAGAAAAGAAAATATATTTTAGTGATTTCTGTGTACACAATGAACATTGTCGATTTTAAACACATTTTTTTCATTAAAATTGTTAAGATAATTAAGCTAGAGTCATTATTAATAGTCAGATTCCAATCAGGTTGAACGTTTCATATACTTTACACAATTCTCTTCATATTACACCAAAATGTTTTATAGGACATATGGTTTAAGGCCAACAGTTCCACTTTGCATTAGGCATGCACCGGATATTTTATGGGAGCACTCCGACGCCAGCGGTTTTAAAAATCGGAGAAACCTTTTAAAATTTTTTCGAATCGGTAGTTTTGTGCATAAATGTTTGCTCTACAAAATAGGATGTTGTAGACTTTCTTACGCAGGTTTGTCGATGAGATATGAATTTTTATCGGAAAGACAGACCCTCTATTAACCGGCCGGTTATAATCGGTTCTATTTTAGAGAAAAAAATTCATATCTCATCGACAAACCATCGTAAGAAATCTATAGTGTTTTTGTGCTGGACTTGGTTGGCTTCAATGGAAAACTTCTATTTTTTCTATTTTGTTTTCAGACTAATTTTCGGCTACATTTCTCTGAAAAACTAAATAAGCTATTTTATTCAGAATTCGATGCTGATCCGAAATATATGATTTTTTTTGAAAATGGTTGGGACAAAAACCACCACTTGTCCTTTGTCACAAAAATGTGCAATAAATAACAATGGATCTGCCGAACTCGGAGAACATATATCAGATATCGCACATTTTGGACACAAAACTGCCAAAGTCCAAAACGGACACAAACGCCAAGTAAAAATCAAGATATTTTTGAAGTTCTTTCGAAGGGCTAGGAATAGAGCTACATTAGATTGTATGCACGACAGACGTGTTGTATACAGACGAACATGTTGACAAAGTTTCCCGAAGTGTGGAGCTCCTTACACTATTCACACGTCTACAGAAACTTAGTTAGGCGGTAAAATAAATTTGTTTCTTCGACACTAGAAGTCCAAACTAGGAAATGTTTTCGTTAATTTAGGCCCAAAAGAGCCTAGATTCATAATCTATAGCGCTTTCGTGTTGGACTTGGTTGGCTTCCATGGAAAACTTCTTTTATCTATTCTTTTTTATTTTTAGACTAATTTTTGGCTAAGTATTTTCTCATGATCCTTAGCAGTTCAAACAAAACTTCTTTTGAGAATCTATGCCACGTTCAGGCGACAAAAGTTAAAGAGCATTAACGAATCTGATTGATCGAGTAAAAGTTAAGTCGTCACAAAAACATGACTAGAGTTGGAGTTAAGGATGCTGATTGGTTGTAAAGTTAATTGTGTTGCATATTCTGAACATAGCCTAAGGGTCATATCTTGAAGTAGTGTTTTCCATACTTAGGTGGGAAAATAGAATACTTCGATTTTTTTTGCTAAATGTGCACCTGGATACACACTGTGCCTCATATTCTTCGACGTTGTGCCATTCATTAGACAAAATTCTAAACATACCTAAATGTTTATGATAAATGTATCATAGATTATTTTGATTAATAAAATAATGATTCTCATAGATCGCTTCATTCACTGAAATGTCATTAGTTCGTATACAACAAACTGTAATATATGAAAGAATAAGTATATTTCTAACAAATTTTTATTACCGTAGTTGTTTTTATCACTCTGTCAAAACAATCTCTTTACATTTGCGTTCTTCACATTGATGATTGTGTATTTTTTGTCGCGATAAGTGCTGCTACATCAGTTTTTCGCATGATTTGAACAATTCGATATTTAATATCTTGGAGTATTATATTTTCATATTGATGAAGTAATTGAGACACATGTTTTCATTTTCAAATCTATTAGAAGAGAAACGTTCCCCAGAAGTAAGATTTTTTTGCTCACTGAACGATAAGAAAACAGTTGTTGATGAGATGACTCTCGAAAGGAACGTGTACATTCACATCGACAAGATGAACGAAGCCATGAACATGTAACTCTAAAATACAACAATTACATTTTTAACTATATTTTTTTGGATGAAACTTGTTTCGAACTAGTGCTAGACAATCAGGTTGGGACTGACTAAACCTGAGTAAGTGAGTCAAAAGGTCTGGTAGAATTAGCGGTTTTGTGTGACGGAAATGTGCGATATTTGGTCGATGGTTTTAACATTTGGTGTATCTCCAGGATAATCTAATGCAGTAAACGGATAAACCTTCGAATTAGATTGATCCTTGATCAACATCACCGGTTATTCTACTTCTACTAATAATCTAGTCAATGTCATGATGTAGAGTTACCCAACGTTGAAAATCACTCAAATACGCTTTGAAATTCTATTCGAACGGTACAGCTGAAAGAAATCTACTAGAAGTACCCTCGTTGTTCCTCTCAAAGATTGCTTTCTGTTGTTATGTCCGACAGTCGATATATTACTTTTGAACATGTTTCTTTCGATTTTAGAGGTAATGGAAAACCCAATGAGACGGTTCTTATCCATGGTGCAAGCGGTGGGGTGAGTAGAAAGGGAGAGAGAGACAATGTGTCGCAGAAGTGTACAGATTGCGCACAATTTTGACTAGGTTGGTATAGCCGCCATTCAGTTAGCAAAATCAATGGGTTTAAAAGTGATTGGTACCGCTTCAACGGAGCAAGGAATGAAAATTGTCAAAGAACAAGGCGCCGATTATGTATTCAATCATAAACAGGAAGGTTATTTAAAAGATATTGCAGTAAGTAGTAGAGTGGAAAGCGTATAAAAATATATCATTATTTAAGACTATGTTTAGGCATCAACTCCAAATGGAGATGGCGTCGAATTGATATTAGAAATGTTGGCTAATGTCAATTTGAACAATGACTTACAATTATTAAAGTCGAAAATTGGTAGAGTCGTGGTAAGTCAGTTTTTGAAAAAAATTAAATTATAGATCTAAAGGGTTTTCTCACAGCTTCGAAGGATGCATTCTATAGACAAACACACGTTGAGCATTCTTCTTAGCTGTTAAGAAATGGTTGTGTAGAGCGAGTAATGAGTTTATTTGATGGTGTATCTAGGTAATTGGCAACCGTGGTACTATTGATATCAATCCTCGCCTGTTAATGGCTAAAGAAACATCAATATGCGGTGTGACATTGTTTAGCTCAACTGAAGTAAGCGTATAGATGCTCTCTTTACCCATTTACATAGATTCTATCCTTTGAAGGATGAGTATCAAGTGACAAATGCTTATTTACAACATGGTCTTCAGCATGGTTATTTAAAACCGGTTTTGGGCAAATCATATTCTCTAGAAGAAGCGGCACAAGCTCAGGAAGATGTTATTAATAACCAAGGCAGTATAGGACGATTAACATTAAAAATTGTTTAAATTTAAACTATTGACTAGTTAGGCGACGTTTTAGCTATGATAATTTTCATATAATTTAACTTTCTGTGATTTGTGATTAAATGATGTATGAATGAGAATAAATATGATATACATTTTTGTCGCTCAGAATCGCTAAACTCTACCAGACCTTCATCGATATTTACACATATTTCTCTCACACTCACACGAACGAATCGTCTGATATGCAAATAATAAAGCAGATCAACCCGCTGTTCGTACAGCAATTAGTATCTCGAAAGAGTTCTTGGGAAATGTGAGTACCGATCGCTGACCAGTCAAAAATTTTAGAAAAATGGTCGGTCCGGTTCGGCTTGCACATGTTCGCCGGTCATCGGTGATCGGCCGGTACCGGTCATGATTTTGTTGACCGGTTGTATCCCTGATAAGAGCATTGAACTATTAGTGGAAACGACTAAGATAATTGATTAAAACCATAAATGAATCCATTCGTGTTGATAGTCGATAGCAAATGAGTCTTCTCCCTGTAAATGATTATGATCGATAAACCACCGGCGAAGATTTTTACTTGCGACTCCTGATAGAGGACCTTTGATGCAGAGATAAAGTTCTTCTTCTCTCCGCATTTCGAGCGCTTGTAATATAAGCGCATCGATGAGAACTGTTGAATCTTTCACAGACAGAACTATATGACGAAGATCTGTAAATTGTCGAATAATGACATCTAATCGTATCGTTTAAATGTTTTGTAATCGGAAAATTTCGAGACGTACCGTACGATTCGTTTTTGTAATAATTGAAATGTTGATTCGCTGTCGGCTATTGTATTGTAACAATCGAAATCAATTGACAACTCATCAAGATTAGGAGCTGTCTCGAGCAAATGAAATAGCTCACATATTCCGACAACTTTAAGTTGTTTCGGTCGAGGTAAATGTTAAATAATTCGTTCAGTTGATTGTGCCAGAGTAGCTGAAGAACAGAAAGTAATAAATCAATTATTCGATGCAACAAACATCAGATATGAAAGATCCGTTCGTCATGAACAAACATTTAGTAAGAATTATTTTTCCGAAAGAAATCAAACGAAAACACAATAGACAAAACTAAGGGCAAAAATATTGGTTTCATCCTTTAAGTATCTCAATAAAAACAGCAAAATACAAGCGAAAAATAAGAATGTAATATTTTGTAATCCAAAGATTTCATTTTCCGCTATGTTCACTACTTGTATCTTCCTAACGAGTATTCGTAATATTTTTTTATATTATCAGAGTTGACTCATTTCTGGCGATAGCTGTCTCAGGATGGTGTTTCTTAAGTGCTTCTTAAGTGCTCGATTTAACTAAGTCTAGACTTAAGTCATACGTAAGTCTCCGTTTTGTACACTTCCGTGTTAATTTTATACACTTAAGTCTGACTTAAGTCTAGACTTAGTTAAGCCGAGTACTTAAGAATTTTTATGAAACACCGTCTGGTACTACAGAAAGAGCTTCCTTAGCTTTTTTCTCCCTGGATCAGTAGCTGTTTCCGCCATCTCTTCGAATATTTTCTCACTCGTCGTTAAAAAAGAATTTTCTATTTATCTCTTCCGTGATTGGCTTATCCATGGAATATCTGACAACCATTTTTTCGTATTTTGCGCGCAGACACACAGACAACCATTTTGTAAGATGCTAGACTAAACTCAACGGAACAAATAGTTCTTGTGAGAAGTTACATACGTGCTTCTGAATCAGTTTGTAAGTCAATCTTGAGCGTTCGAAGTTGATGAAAGTGTTGTACGGTCATCAATACGTCGATAGAAGATAACGCTCCATAAATGCTTAGATTTTCAACTTTCTGCATGTATTTCCAACCTGGTAATGTATGTTTACCTATTGTTGCTGGAATATCGATTGAAAACAGATTGAAAGGAACTGTGTGAATAATAGCATACTGATGCGGTTCATTCAACTAACATAATATTGAAATATGACCCGAGGGCAAGGGGGAAAAAGCATACTTCTGTACTTCTCCGTACTTCTTGATACTTCTTCGTACTTTTTTGTACTTCTCCGTAGTTCTGAAGTACGAAGTATGTACTTAAGAAGTACAGAGAAGTACCGAGAAGTACAGAAGTATGCTTTTTCCCCCTTGCCCCCGGATCATATTTCTTCTTTTCTTCTTTTTCCCCCCTGCCCGGGAGCCATGTACCAAGCAAAGTATCAAGTTCGATATATGATCCTGAGAAGTAATAAAAAATGAAGAAATGCATCCGTACCAGTGATGAAGGTAGGACTACGGCGAGATTCTGTCCGTTAACGAGACATTTGTCTGTTGTGCTTAGATAAAGTGCTAATCTCTGTAGAGATGGCATCTTACACAGTATATCGACAATGTCTTCAAACGCCCAAGCCATATTGATTGAACGTAACTGAAAATCATTTAAATGAATAAGAGGTGACACATTCTGTAATGTTGTTATTGACACCTCTGGTTAGGTTCCGAAATTTATATGTAAACGGCGTACATTTGGTACAAGTGTGAACAGATCTCCTAGCATATCACATTCAATCAAGTTGACGGTCAACTCTTCAATATTCGGATATGAAATGGTTTTATCAATTGTAGTCAATGTTAAAAAGATCGAATCTTGATCGAATGTTACGGATTTGAGTCGGCCTATTGGCAACCAAAACTTTTCTCAGTAGTCCATCTGAATGTCGATCCATGAGACATTTTATATCAAGCTTAACAAGTTGTAAGAGACCTTTTATTTTTTCAAGAAATGTGAATAGTTGTTCACCAATGAAATATTCAAGTGTCAATGTATGCAAGTTTGGTAACATCAATGATAAATTCGAATTGAAGTGTATCGAATGTAATTTGTTCGATATAAAACTCGTCCAGTTTCCATTGACCACAAATGATCGTATTCTTGAGCCTATTTGAGGTAAAATGTTCGACAAAACACAATCAAATTGTTTATGTGTAACGCCATTAAGATTCAAATAATGACAGACGCTACACAGTGGACAATCAGGCGGACATTAGGGGAAAAATCGAAAGCGAGATTTTTCAAGATCTGAATAGTGTCATATATACACTACTGAATGCCCGATCTAACAGCGAAAAAATTTTGAACCAAATGCATAAGATGACCGAGAAAGCCAAGCGTCGATCCTTGGCTGATTTTTCGTAAGTTCTATAAAAAACTCTTTTTTCCTGACAAGAGTAAACACATTTAAAATTTGAAAGGTATATATTCTGAAAGCTAATTGTTTGGGCTATCGACTGGTAAAAAAAGGTCTTAGGTTGCCCCTTTCCTTTGTGAGTGAACTTAACTTTTTTCGGCGCTAAATGTTTTTTCAGAAGCTGCACTCAGCAAAGTGAGTGCGCGAGGGTTAGCGAAGGTCCGTCGAAGCTGAAAGTTTTAGCGGTTATTTACCTGGACGTGGGCAACCTACAAAACTAGCAAAAAGTTGCAATTTTTTCCAGTTCCGGATTTATGAGTTTTCCAAAAACTCTGATTTTTCAGCGATTTTTCGCGGTTTTCTCAGACAGAAAGCATCCTAGCTAAAAGCTGAGGACAGATTCAGAATCAGCGTGAAAAACTGCATCTAATCATGCATCTTTCGTCCACTTTCGATATTTATGACGTCCACATATTTATTCAAATGTATAACCAAATTATAGAAAGTACGATACGCGTTTCGAGACACACTTTGGTGCTCACTTCAGTCAATAAAATAATTTAAAACACTTTTAAAAAATTTTTTAGAAAAAATGAAATGTTTTTTCGTTTAAGTTGACTTTTGATTTTTGAAATAGTAGTCATAGAAATGTCAATTAATCTTGATCGTCTGGATTTAGTGATGGATAATATTTTCTTCTAAATTTCTAAATTAAAATGATTTTTGCTGATGGGCGTTGCAGTTCGAGAAAACTGTTGGCCTCGTTTGTGGCCACTGGCTAAAAAATGATTGGCTGGTTGATGGCGTAGTTGAGTTTTTATTAGTCTTATGACTATAAAAATATCGTGTTGGTTGAAGACGTCGTGATGGTGAAGAATATTGAGGATAATGTTGAGTTGGATAATAATTTTTCTTTCCTGAATTTTATCTGGTTGAGTGTTGTGTGTTGTTGTTTCGATAAGATCGAAATAGAAATTTTGGACGATTATCTGATTTAATTACAACCCATGGATCTTGTTGATTATCAGTAGCTCCTTCATATTTCCGATAATGATGTTCATGTTTTTCCCATATATGAAGCAAAGGCAACTCGCTTTCGACAGCAGCAACAATAAATTGACGCACAGCATGAACAATTTCTTTCACCAGTTGCAACCGGTGCTGTTTTTATCCAACTTCTAAACTTATGGAATAAAGATTGTCTTCGAAATGAACAAACATTACTTAAAATATGTCACTTAAAAACAAACATCACTTTTAAATGTTTTAGTAAAAAATCATCAGGCCAAAATCGAAACCGATATATTCTATAAGCTCACAAATTCTTTCCACTATCTGCCATGTACTCGAGTTTTACGACTAAATGAACTGAAAGGATTTCTTTTAGCCCGTGGTTATCTTTCTTCTCTTCTTTCTGATGCTATTCGAAAAAGTTATGACAACGCATTATCTGTTACAACTAATCAACCGGCACAACTGCAACGATTAGCGCCATTAACATTTGTATCAACACATAATTCAAACAATTTAGATTTATTCCCATTTATTCGATCGTTATTACCACAAGTACTTTCATCTAGTCAGAAACCACACACAGCAAATAATCATCGCCTTATATATGCTAGACGGCAACCACCAAACTTGCGATCATTACTGATCTCAACGGATTTTTATTCTAATTCTCCAGTAGCACCAATTATTTCAAAATGTAATGCATCAAGATGCTTCTTATGTAATAGACTAAAAATTTCTTCTTACATCATCAATGAACATAGTCAAAAATTAGAATGCAATGCAAACATGAATTGTAATACTAATATTTGATCTATGTAATACAATGTCCATGTTGTTCACAAACATATATTGGCGAATCTGTGAATTTGAGAGCAAGAACGCATAAATATTCTGTTCTACATTTACCTCATGATGCTCAAAAAGTTCACAGACATATAGCTCGCTGTTCTGCTGGTGAATTCAGTGTCTTCCCCGTTTTTAAGATGAACACACAAGATCTGTTCATCAGAAAGTTGAAAGAAAAGGAATTTAGAAGAAAATATTATCCATCACTAAATCCAGACGATCAAGATTAATTGACATTTCTATGACTTTTTGAACAATTCAATCTCGACCAAATCTCTATATGGTCACGAGATTGGCAGTAACGCTAGCATAATAATTAGCCAATCGGAGCTGGACTTGATGAACACAATCTGAGGTAGGCAAAATACGTATATAAACACACGAACACAAGAAGATCAACTTTTTTGGATAAAAGACGGACACAATGTCACTGTGTGAATAATAGCATACTGATGCGGTTCATTCAACTAACATAATATTGAAATATGACCCGGGGGCAAGGGGGAAAAAGCATACTTCTGTTGGGGCAAATAAATGGCCTCAGCGCCACTTGTCCTTTTGTTGTAAGAAAAATATTTTAGATCAGAAAAGCGTGCTACATCTGTAACATATTTTTAGTAAAGCCGAGACAGAGTAGATTTTCAGTTAGCGAAACCTGAAACTAACACCGACTAAACAAACTGGAAGCATTTTTGGGGGGAAATTTCCTAGTAAAAAGTGTAATGTAATTTATATGAAGTTATGAAATGCTTTTTTCTCAGCAATGTGTTATATCATTAGCAACGTTCATATTACAGAAAATTTTTCTTTTGATGTTGTCAACGCATGTAAACATAGAATTGTGATGTATATTGTGTGCGTCATCATTATCCTAGTAGAGTGTTTTCAGAGATATATTATTCACATAGTTAAATGCAATAAAATGCTGATGTTGATGAAATGTCGGGTAGATTGAAAAATTTTTTCTTGTCAGAGTGATTCATCTTTAAAGAGAGAGAGACTGGAAGAAGAAGGGTAGTTGTTGAGGAAGATCATATTAATGATGAATCATACTGTAGAATATATAGATTCAACCTTTTCTTATCTTCTCAGAATATTTTGGTTTATTTTCTTTTGGAAGGTTAAATGTACCGACTGTATACAGAAAAAAACCATTCAAATTCTATGAACATGATGCATACTCGTGTCTCGTTTGTACATATTATTTTAAGTTTATTTCGCACCTTTCTGTTAAATTGATGTAAAATGTTTGCTCATAATAAATGCAGCACAAATATTTAATTTCAGATCTTATGTTAATAATAATATTAATAATCGCATTTATTCATTCATTTCGTACACTTTGCAGTTTTCAAAAATGATTTGTAATTAAATATATGACACTTGACTTTCGTCATAAATATATATACACGAATACTTTGAAATATCAAAACACTATTAGTTTAAAAGAAAGAGAGAGAAGAGAGAGAGAGCGAGAGCGTGAGAGAGACAAAGTTGTCAACTTAACGATAAATATTTTCAACATTCGATCTTATTTGTTGTTTGGATTAATATGGGTTTTGAGATCTGAGTTTATAACCAAGACATAATAATCTCAAGTGATAAAAAAGACGTTTTATTTTGCTACTCGAAAACTACAGAAATAAACGTTATATGAAAAATGGACAAAATAGCTGATTACACATCTCCTAAAATGTATAAGAAAAATTTTCTTCTCCACATCTATATCAAATTATCTACATCTTGCATATAGTGTGTTCTAGGAATGAACTAACATTTCTTTAAAAAAATAAACTGTACAAATGAGATAAAGACAACAGAGTAAAAACAAACTAATTTTCACGAATGAAGGTCAGAAATCTCATACGAGAGCAAAAAACAAGGAAGTTGAATTATTTTTCAAATCGTAATTCAATTTCTTTGCCATATAAAATATAAAAATCTGATTTTTAAGAAGTTATTACGAATAAAAGCTGAATTAAATCAATAATCAATAAAAATCGACGGGATTCAAGGTATAATAAACATAATAATAAAAGTCAAATAAAATAATTTTCAATGATGCTCATATCTTTCTTCTTTTTTGTTTTTTTTTTAACTGAAATTGTTAAAATGCCTACCTGGTCTAATGTAAATATTGTTTTATTTAAATATCCTAGTAGCACATCAATTTTCAGTTGTTATGTTTTACAAGGAGAGTAACAATAGGTTTAAAAGTCGGAAAAAATACATCAAATGAGACGAAAAAAGTCATTTTCACAAATTTGGTGAGCATTTGTTTTTCTTTCAATGAATATACATGTATACGTTTAGTAGTTTTCATAATTGATGTTAGAAAGAATTTTGTTAGAAATGTAAGAAAAATAAAATAATGCTAATCATTATAAAATAGACTTTGCATTTTTCTCTTTTTAACAATACGAAGTTGAACTGCATTTTTCAAAGTTTGTACAAGAAAAGAACTAATGTAATATACATACTATTTTTCATGATGCATTCTTTTTTTGTCACGAGTAGCTGGAAGATTGAAAATATATTTCTAATCAAGCATTGTATATTTTTCTCAGTTCAAAGTCTTCTGTTCATTAATTAGATTTGATTTTTAATATTGAAAAAAATTTTCATATGCAAAAGAGGGAAAAAACCAATTTTTTTAAACGGTACAGTACCTCTTGAGTACAGCATGTAATCAGATTATTGTAACAGATCTTCACATATTTTTTGTATTTGCGAATATCCGTTTAGAATGTAGACAATATTTTTACCAGAATTCTAGAAGAATCTATGCAAATTATTATAATTTTCTACGGATTTATTGTACACAGCAGCATCAACGAAACTGTTTGCTAAATATATACGGCGAAATATTTTGTAAATGTAGAATTTTCTTCAGAAATTTCTCAAAATCTACAAGTCATCTTTGATTATTCTGTATATGCAATAGATCTATACAAATCTTGTCTACATTCTGCAGTGAATTTGCAAGCTTTTGTTGCAGATTTGATTCAAATTTTATGAGATTTTTCTTGTAGACATTTTCGCTGTATTTCGGACCGAGATCATTGCATTGCATCATACAAACTTAGTTAGTATATATTCTGACTCAAACAGCGGTTATGTGCTACGGTACTAAACCCTCGACTTTTGATGATATATTCCGTAACAGAATCAAATAGACTACTCTATCATCCCGGCATACAGTCATTAATATATATGTGATAGTTTTTACAAATGATCTATAGTATCCATAGGGGAATTGTCGAAAGTAGGCGGTATAATTAATCATTCCGGTAGTTAAGGATAAAGTTTTGATTAAGTGTTTTATTTTTCTCCTAAAATTCTCTTCTTGTGTGAAAAAATTTATTTTAGGTATATAAAACACAAGAAATATACATAATTGACTTAAATTATCGATAGCAACCTATTGTTTTTTAAGATTTACTAATACAATTAATTCAAATTCTATTTTTTTCTGTCTGTGATGAAATAATTACGTAAGTATTGTGTCATATTTTTCCTCCTTTTCCTGTCGTATCTACATCAACAACATACAAACAGATAAAGAAAAACAGAAGCAGAGATACGTGTGGTAGTGAATAAGGAAATGAATAAAACTGTGTTAATTCGTGTATTTTTGATCGTTCTGCGTATGACACTATTCGGTTATTATAAGAAGCTATTCAATTATTATGAAAAAAAATTTTTTGCCTGTTTTAACCACCCCGCAGTGTCATCACATGTTAAAAAAACTAAAACCATTAAAAAAAGGATGCCTTAACTTAGACGTCTTAAGGCATCCTGAAACTTTTCTTGTTAGTATGATGAACATTGCCTGGTTAGATATTAAAACGACTCACTTTCGATTGTGTTACTAAGCGACCCTGTCGTTTTCCACCATGGACTGTCTTTCCCTTTAAATAAAAGTTTTTTGTTTCAATTTGAAACTATGAGGTTAGGAAAAAAAGACTAAAATACGCTATGAATAATAAAAATTAAGTTTCTTTAGCATTTACAACAAATTTTTAAAAGATTAAGAATGATGCCCAACATAACCTAAATTTTTCTAGATCTCACAATGAATTTTCTAGAATCCTTGGTTTTTCAGAGAATATTTTAAAGTTTTCGTCTAAAAGACATTTTAAACCGAAACAACTATCTATCATATTCTGAATTGGCACTAAAAACGGTATCGAATGATGTAGTTTTCAAACATTTTTTGATATATATTTTCTCACAAATAATCACAAACTTAATTTTTCAAAACAGGATTGTCTCTTGGGAGAACAGAGTTTTTAGATATACAGAGTCATTCAAAGTCAAAAACAACCATTTTCTATGGTGAAAACATTGATGTTTACCTGCCTAGTAAAAACTGCGTACCGTGAAACTAAACAAACTACCTCTTCTCATACATTCACTTATCTAATACTTGAATGATCCCTAAGCTTTCTTCTTTCAAATGGATAATTGGAAAATATTCTCGTAATCCGACTGATACTATTCATAATCTGCTTATTTTATGTAATATTTGAATATCTCTCATCCTTGAAAGAGAAAAACAGAGTTTCATTTGTACTTGATAAATTACTGCTCTGTCTATACTATTCTCTTTTTCCCCGTTTAATTTTTTCTTTCTTTTCTACAAGTCAAAATATATAAATATAGTGATATAATATAATATTGCATCAGTGACCATATCTTTCTTGAAAAATTGAATCACATTTACTTAAACTTTTTTTTTATAGATTTGTAAACCTTTTCTCGAAACTGACCACTTAATTAAAACATTAATAATGCGCGGTAGTGGTTCAGTTAATTCAAATATGATTACGTCATGTGTTGGATTACCACAGACAATTACATCGAATCGGGATGAATATAATCAAAATCCTTATGTAGGGAAAGATTTCTATGAAGATGAAAATTATCGTTCAGCACTCGACTTACTTAATGGAGGTAAGTTTCTTGATATTCTTTTGTTTGTAACTTTAAAAAATGAAATTTCGAAAAATACATATCCAATTATGTTTTTAAAATTTATACAATCCAATATTAAAAAGGTTAAAAAAGTATAGAAAAGAAGCAAAAATTGAAACTTTATCTCAGAACTTGATAGTTTCGACGAGATAAAGTGTACAACAACAGTCTATCT